TGTCAACTGGCTCATCATGATCAATGAAATTCATTTTCTTTTGTTTCCCCTTTTCTTTCATTGAAGCTTGGTAAAGTTTAGCCAGATGCTTAGGTGTACGACAAATGCTTTGCCAATGCCCTGTCATTCCACACCGATAACAAGTATTATCATGTGCCTTGGGAGGTTGAGCCACATCATTCCCTTTTACTTGTTTCATTTTATTATAATCTCTCATTTGAGGATATGGTATGGATCTCTGATTGCGAAAATTTGAGGATTGATATCCTTCATGGTAATAAGAATGATTTTTACCATAACCATATTCATTATTGTAGCCAATTCTACCACCACGATTATGTCTATTATCATGTTCACGTCCATGTGATGAGGCAATATATGTTTCAGGGATCGGTGTCGATCCAATTAGACGGGACTGGTGGTTTCTTAACAAAAACTCATTATTTTGCTCTGCCATAAGCAAACATGATATCAGCTCTGAATATTTTTCAAATCTACGCTCTCGATATTGTTATTGTAAAAGTACATTCGAGGCGTAAATGTTTTTTCCAACAAAAGTTCATCAATGATGGTATCACCACGCAATTTCAGTGCAGAGCTGATTTTAAATAGGGCAGAGTTGTATTCAGCCACAGTTTTAAAATCTTGCAAACGCAGTTGTTGCCAACTGACCCGAGCTTTTGGAAGGAAAGCTGATGATCATATCTTTCTTTCAAATTTTTTTTACAAACTTAGTGGATCTCTTTCAGTGAGGTATTCAATTTTTAGTTCCTCACTAATATGGCGACGAAGGAAAATCATGGCATTTGCTTTATATAACATAATATGAAGTATTATAAAGGTGGTAAAACCGACCATAGTTATTAGATCATTAAATAATAAAGGCGATAAAATCGACCATGTAAATTATTGCATAATAAAGACGGTAGAACCGACCATGGTTAGTAAATCATTAAATAATAAAGGCGATAGAACCGACTATAGTTAGTAAATCATTAAATAATAAAGGCGGTAGAACCGACTATGGTGTGAGCAAATATATCATTTAAGTGGACAAATTAATTCATGAACAATAATTAATAATTAAGATTTCTTACCTTTTGGAGTCAAATACAATTTTCTTTAATAAAGCAAACAAACCCAACAATCTATCAAAACTAATATCACAAAAGAGTTATATAGTTGAGATAGAGGGAAAGAGAACTTCTTGTTCAAATCTCAAATGGCTAGAACTCGTGCTGATAACGTGTAATAAATATATATGTGTGTGTGTGTATATATATATAAAGTAAGATTAAGTGAGAGAAAATAAGATAGCTTTCATCATATTAAGAAAGTATAACTATAATACCCCTGATTTCAAAAGGATAGTCCTGGTATTTATTAAATTGTTTAAATTGCATTTATTTTTATTTAATTGTTTAATTATTATTATTATTATTATTTTATTGATTTCAAAAGGATAGTCCTGGTATTTATTAAATTGTTTAAATTGTATTTATTTTTATTTAAATATTTATATTTATTAAATTGTTTAAATTGCATTTATTTTTATTTAATTGTTTATTTGTTTTTTATTTATTTATTTATTTAACTGGCCTTTTGTTTCTATTTGTATTAATTGTTGACGTGATCATGTGTTAATTGTAATTGTTTTCATTGTGGTGATTTAATGGTCTTTAATTATTTACTTGTTTTAATTGAATTAAGTTAATTAAATTTAATTGTTTTAACGTGACTGTATGGAGGCACACATATAGTTATATTAGGGTTTTATTTACACGGATGTAGCCGACTTAGGGTTGGTTTTGTATTAGAATTAGGGTTGTGTTGAAACCTATAAATACAGTATTATACGTTGGTTTAGGGTTACAAAACAAAACCCAATTCACTGATATTTATACCGTGAGATAGAGAGAATACAGAGAGTGGAAACTAGGACGTTATCGGAGAGGTTCAAGGATACACTAAACGGAGTGCTTCTGGGTTGAACCAAGAGCACCTAAGGTGTAGAACAGGAGTCTCAGACGTGGACAGAAGTTTCAAAGACAGTGGTTTAGAGTTTCAAAACTGAAACTCAAGGCAAGTCATTATTATTCTCTTTCCCTTTAGTTTGTGATCTATACATGTTTAGGATGACTCCAGGGATTAAACCAACGTTAAAATGGATTAAATAAATATTATAATTTATCTTGTAATTATGTTGGTATCAATTTTTTAAATCGTTGCATAATTCTGTCGTTAGTTAGAAGTAGTTCTCACTTGAAAGTCTGTTTGCGTTAATGTTTAAACCTGAAAATCTTCCATGTATGTGGGATGTAACCATGCTTATAATTAAGTCTGGAACATCAATTGAACTCTAGAATAAGTTATAAAAATTGTACAGAGCCTCTGAACTTCACCGAAGGCGAAAAAAATGATCAGATTACGCGCAACGGCTCACAGTGGAGTAGAGCCGGCTCACCCCAAGGGTGGAGCCGCCTCCACAAGAGGTTGAGCCGGCTCCACATGCAGTAGAGGTGGCTCCAATGTGGAGGGAGGCGGCTCCAACTTCTGTTTTTGGTTTCTACATGGTTTTGGGTTCAGTTTGACCTGTAGGAAGGTTTCTGAGTGGTTCCAAGGGCTGTGGATGGTTTATAAAATTTATTCTAGAGATGTAAAAGGATTGGGAAGCATGTTAGTATTAATTTTGAAGCATGAAATAATCTACAGTTAATTAATACACTGCATGTGGAAGGTTGAATTATACCTTGACATTGCTTACTGTTTCTATAAAGCACTTTGGTTTCTAGCATAATTTTAAACTGTTGTTCATGGTTCAACTGTTCTATAAGCATATATTATATATTCTAGAAAAAATATAGGTATGCTTAAATGGAAATTAATTGATGTTTAACTATACTATTTAGTGCATCAAGTTATGGTACTGTTTTAGAGGAATTAGATGCTGTATTTTACTCTAACATTTTAAAGGACTAGAATGTGACTTCTAGATCATATACCGGATATATAGTTTGATCTTACACTTATTAGATTGGTATGTGTGCTTATTCTGAAGTATAATTGATATGTATTTATCATTGTTTGGTCAACCGTGCAAACTGGAGGATTGTATGTACCGGTATGGGACGGTGACATACTAGGTATGGACTGGATCAAACCCTAAGTCCTACCTAATTTGGATTAAGGTATGGATTAACCATATATGTTAAGTCCATTACCTACTTGTGTCATGTCAACAAAATAGTTGGATGACTTCATATGGTTTCAGGACGGATGATTATACATATACTAGACCACTACACAGATGGATGGTATTTTGTATTAGGAGGAGTACGGACTTTATATATTTATTATATGGTACCATGGTATGAGCTTGAGTCTCAGGACCATGGTTAGGGCGCGTATATCGCCTAGGATGGATAACTGGACATATGTGTTGTTCCCTGGTAGGTCTAGGTACACATGACCACGTTATTGTGCGATTTGCATGGTATCTCTACTCAGGCTGAGACAGACCTACTAGACTAGTGAGCATCCTATAGTGTGTACTATATATATACATATGGACTACTCTAGATATTGTTGAGTCTTCCTAGGATGTATCTGCGTATCGGATTACTATTTGGATCGTAGTAGAATAGGACTTGCATGTGGGCCTGACCCACTCTCTAATTTTTCAAGTGTTCGTCAGTTCCAGGGTTAGAGCTTGGACGTGTAGAGCAGATACAGACATTCATTCCTCCGACTACGTAGGAATCTTTTCTATATTTACCTTAAGTTTCTATTTCAGATATTTTAGTTTCAATTGGGATTTTTAATAATAAGGGGTCCACTAGATGGATTCCCGAGTTGTAACTTATGAAGTTTTGGAGTTTAGATTTAACAGATTTCATTAATTATATTTTGAGAATTTCAATTAGTGTTCTTCCAGCTTATTGTTATTATTTATTTCATCTTGTATTCTGTGTTCGGTTACATATTAATTGTTTGATATTTCCCTCGGGTTTGGGCTCAGGCCTGATCAACCCGTGTCTCGGATACGAAAGGTATCACAATAACAAAAGGAGAGAGATGCCTTTTTAATCTTCACACACCCATTACATACATATGATGCCTATTTATAGGCATACAATTCGTGGGCAGCAAATAGCTTTCTATACAAGCTTGCTGCCATTTCCGATGTGCATTATTTTAATCACATGTGGACGCTACACAGAAACACACACATATATAACAATTTACTATTTTTCCACTTCAAGACCCTTTTATCTTCATATGCGAAATGACCAAATTGCCCTTCACACTTTACCAAATTCACTCTCTCAAATTCACTCTCTATCTCACACACACACCCACAAGACAAAATACAAAATTAACAAACATGGCCATTTCCCATATTTTAAAATGACCACTTACAAAATATTACAAAATTTCCAACCTAATACTTCAACCTCTTCCATCTTATATGATCTTATGATGTATTGTTGCTGATTGTACCCTCTGTTCATGTTGGTTGAATTCAGAAGCGTACTCTTGGATGAGCAATTCAGACGATATTGAGATTGATCTTCAATGCATTGTAGTTCTTGTTCGGACAGATATTTGAAAACCTTAAACCATGTAATTTTCACAAAGGCAAAGTTAGAAAGGCCGAAGTTCAATGTTATCGAATACTGATTGATTAAGAAGTTACATAAGGATAATATTGTTATAAACCGATAAAATCAAGAAGACCTTGACAATTCGAGTATAAATCTATTGGTACCATATCTCTGGATTTTCAGCTGTTGAATGTGGTGGTGGAACCCACCTAATAGATGATCAAAGAACTAGGAGACCCTAGGGTACGGTATCCTTGGGGTAGTTTTGTCATCTTATGCAGGGTACATATGAGGAGTGTTAAAAACGTTAGGGTGTGTTCAATTACATGAAATTGGAGCCTTAGAATTGAAATTAAAATTAGAATTGCTGGAATTGAATGGAAAAAAATTAATTAAAAAAATTGAACCAAAGGTTTACAATTCCAAAGCTCCAATTTAAACACAGCTTAATACATTCAATGCAAATTTTGGGACAATGGTAAACAAGACTATCTTCCCCTGTTCCCAAGACTAGCTTATGTAGTCGGTAAATCACTGCACTTGGTAGTGTTTACACTTCTGTAGTCATAACAAGAAATTGCTTGTAAGTTAGTTGTACATAACTGTGTGTGTGTGTGTGTGTGTGTGACTAACAAAAATGGAAGAGAACCAAGTCTTTCATCTACCCTTCAAATTCCTAACTACTCACACCCATAGAAGCTTGTAAGTGGCCAATGTCTTCCATGACCACGCTCGGATCTTCTTCCTCTTCTACCCTTAAAGATAAGCGTGCAGACGAACATGTTATTCGATAAAAATTTCTACATGCTTGGGGAGGAGTTCTTCAATTTCAACTTTCATGTTCGAGTTAGATAGTCCCTTCTTTAATCCACCTTTGACAACCATGACATCCACCAAAAAATTCGCCAAAACAGGCCGGTGGTCAGAAAATCGGATTTCGCGGCGTACATAAGACAGTAGCTTTATCCCATTTCCATGCCACAGTATTCTGTCGCACCTGCAGTGTTTTAAATACTCAAATTTACATGTAGTAGTGTGCATTTCAGTTCTAAATAATATATATATATATATATATATATATATATATATATATATATTTGTGGCCATAAGCGTACCATGCCGGAGTTCTCCTTTTATCCTTCGAGTTTATAGTGTCCCCTGCATAAGTGTCCGAGTTGTAGGAGTATTTGTATGTAGGTGCAAAGTAGATCTTTCCTTCTTTCCATCCCTTGAATACTCGCCCAGCTTCCATTTCCATCTTGAGCTATCAAAACAAGAAAGCCAAAAGCTCAACGGAAGTCCTTTTAAGAGACCTTGATTGTGTTCAAATTAGAAGGAAAAACATATATAACCAGTTATATAATTAGCAAATGAGGAACACAAGGGCTTGTAAGTTGTAACAAGAAGAAGAAAAGAAGGAAAAATCATAGAGTTGCTCAGACAACAAACAAAACTAAATTTACCACAGTTCGTAAAATGGACCAAGTCCAATTTATCATTTGATTAATAGTGGGAATCCAAGAAAAAAATATATATGTTAGAGTTCCTCGTCAATTGCATATATTTCTCAATTTATCCATGGATGAGGTAAACTACCTGATCCTTGCCAAGAAGGGTATCCCATTTGTTCTCCACTAGAAGTTTTTTCGTGTCAGAATAGCTCAAAGCAATCCGGTAGTTTAAATCTCCTAACCAAATGATCCGGCTGCCACCAATTTTTCAGACAGTATAAAATTAGAAAGTCATATACAATAAGTTTACTAGTATTCAAAAAATGCAATGAAAAAGAAATTACAGAGAACTGCAAATGAAATGTTTCTTAATGAAATTCAGAGAAGCTCACTCGTGTTCTAGAATTTTTTCGGGTATCTTATTATTAGGTGTTCTGCATATCTTTGGAAACTGTGTGTTTCTGAGTGTCTCTATAACGTCCGAATTTCTTCTAAGCTCATCCCCTTCTTTCTCCCCCGACGCCAAGTGACTGCAAACAAAACAAAAGCTTGTTTGGTGGATTGACATACTCACGGAGATACACCCCTGCAATCCAACCAAAAAGAAGAAAAAAATTACAATAAAGATGTTAACCATATCTCATCTCCGAGCATCACAAGAAAAGCTTGTTTGGTGGATTAACTCTGTATGTATACATAGTGTACAATTTTCCATCTCATCTAACTATAAAATCTTACCTTGTTCCCAAGGCAGCCCATGATCCCGCGACTGGTGTAAGAAGTTCTCAAGTGCCCTATGTGAGGGATTAGTTCGTTCCTAACCCAAACAGTAACAAAGATTCCCACCATCTGCTTGCTAACTACAAGGCTATAACTCATCTGGTTAGTACTAGAGGGACCGGTGATTCCCTCATCATCAGAAGAGGAGTCATTTTCACTAATATTCGACTCTTGCCATTTAGAACATGAATCTTTACTATACTTCCTTTCCAAGAAGTCTAAAGTGCAGTTGCAACTCTTAAGCATCCTTGCATTCTCGCCCCTGAATATTTTAGTTGCTGCTTTGAGGGAAGTCTTTTGAAAGAATAGCGAGCTGCCAATAGCAGAGTTGGGCTTTGGACTTCCCCGAACCAAAGGCTTGATGCCAAAAGAGGAAATTGTTTTGCTGTTGGTCCGACCATTGGTAGATTGATTCAAGGAGTTGCTAATTAAAGATAGCCATTTCGCTGCCGTTCCATTATCTTCTATAACTAACACATTCCCAGCATTCAAGGGGACTATTTCCTGAAAGCTGGTAATTACAAAGAACAAAAATTGATACAAATGAAAATCAGTATGCAAAAATATGACGCTATTATAATAGAACATACTGAAATCTAAGATTATAATGACAAACATCTTAAATACGAATATACTCTACATAACAAGAATACTTCTATTCTAAGTTGGATGCACAATTCATATAAAAACCAGACAAAATTTAACCCATCAACGCCTGAATTACAGTTCATATGTTTTGAGGTCACCATGTTGGACATCTTGATATTCCATGGTTAGTGCTCACCATTTTAGGTAAGCTACATGAAAATAATTGGAAAAAATGAATTTCTTTTGCACCATGTCATTTAAATAGATAAAAGCAATCAAACTTATAAGAACAACAATAGTGATCTGAGTTCAGGATAATTTTATTTATTTATTTATTTTTATTTTTTAGTTTTTGCATTGAAGGGAGTTGGTTGTTCCTGTATTTCTTGCAAAATACACACACACAGACACAGAGAGAGAGAGAGTACCCCAAAATGTATATATCCGACGGATCTCGGACCTGAAGAAATTGATCGAGATCAAGGCCACTATCAGGAGGGGATTGCCCTCCTACATTCCATGTCGCAACAAAAACACTATAGAAAAAAGTAAAAACATAAGCATGACTGTGTAGCAAAATAGAGGAAAATAAAGAAACTAGAACCATAATATTTCTTTGCCTCATTACCGTAAGGACTGAACTTCTTGAACAATCGGCATTGGATGTCCTAGGCCACGAAAAAGCGGACTCTCAATCCCTGTAAGGGGCTGTGATTCTGCAAACAAGGATAGAAGGAAAGCAAAGAAAAGGTTAGGAGAATTGTAGAATTTTCCGAAAGTTTTAAGCTATTGAACTTAAAAAACTTTCCTTGAGAAATCTTCTCAAAGCTATTCAAAATCAACCGCTATTCTCAGTGAAAAACAAGAATTTATAGAAGTGAAGAAAGAGATGGTACAAGAAAAACCGAATACAGCTAATAAATTATATACTGAGAAATCTTCTCACAGCTATATTCAAAATCAACCACTATTCTCAGCAATAAACAAGAATTTATAGAAGTGAAGAAAGAGCCGGTACAAGAAAACCGAATACAGCTAATAAATTATATATAAGAACAATGGATACCATTCTTGCTTGCTTTCGAACAATGGATAAGAAGTTGAAACAGAACATATTCTTAACTTTACACCAACTTGCAATGTTGCTATTCCCCATATAAAATATCTGTTGGCATATCCTTTTACAAGTCCATTTCCCACATTTGTGTGTGAGAGAGAGGTGGTCAATACAATGTCCAATTCTCCAATTCTGTACATTTTTCTAGTAAGAATGTGTCAAAGATCTGTTCATTTAAAGCAAAGGATATATGTGTAGTACTCACCTGAAGAATCAAACGAGTCTTTGATAGTCTTCATTCCTTTACTCTTTGTGGCAAAAATCTTTTTAAAGAGTGACTGCAATCACAGGCAATCGAAATGAACAGAAACAAATGTAACAAACACAAAAGGAAACAAAAGGAAAATCCCTAAAAGAGAAAATTCTGACAGAATATATACATACATATAATATATATATATATATATATATATATATGTTGTGTTTGGAAACACAACAACTGCACCCTGAAATTGGAACCAGAAGAAATTAGTTTCATTTCAAGACACTGATTCGGTGCTCCAGTGTTCTCAAATTCTGACTGTTTGATAGCTTTCTCAACACTGTTTTATGTTTCTAGAGTTCCTAAAAATTGTTTTTAAACTATCAACCAAACAGATCCAAAAGCTTGGAAACTTGAAATACAATTACCTTCTTCATTACCTCGATTATTGGAGTCATATTCGGAATCACAATTTCTTCAGGATTGGTTCTGATCTTAGACTTCTCAATCGTCATAAACTGAAATATACAGCAAAAATTGATTGGAACCCCCAATAAAATATATTTACAAAAAGAAAACAATCAACAAAATGAATTCAACAATGGAAAACATAAAAAATAAAAAAATAAATTCATCACTCACATTCCATGGGAAATTATTGTCACTTCCTTTGTCATGGTGAAGAACATTCATATAAAATATGAACTGCAAACGTATAAAAATAAAAAAAGACTTTGAACATGTCTATATTATAAAAACACCGACTGCGAGAATTCAACAAACAGACTACCGGCAAAAACCCACATGGTTTTATTCGAGAAGGTCAACTGCCTAGTGCCTATATAGACGCACACACATATCAATATATATATATATATGTGAAAACTCTACAAAAATAATTTATGGAATTAGCAAATATATCTTTGACTGTCGTCAATTACAATGAGAGTCGGAGTTTCCAAACTGAGAGGAAGATTTGCGGGCACAAGTGTTCTTTCTCTTTCTATACACACACACACACACACATATATATATATTGAACAATCAGAGAATATTGACATACAATCTGGAATGTGTCTTCGGAATTCAGACCCCGGCTCATGGGAAAATGCTGTTTTTCGTCTGGCCTTTGTTTTTGTTTTTGTTTGTCGATTCTTATTTTGATTTTTAATTTTTATTGGTAAAGATCGTCAATTTTATATACCATCTCTCTTGCGCTGTGTGTGTCTTTTGTACTTGGACAGACTGTCTTTTAAATTGTTTATGATAGTCAAAGTCTATGTGATGCTGCTTCATGTTAAAGTTTGAGTCAATGAGAGCTTGAAAGGTGGAGCCTGTTTTGGGAATTGCATTTCAATCCTTTAAAAGGGCTTTTAATTTAAAACATTTTTGTGTTTTATGTAACGGTTCATTAATTCTCGAACCGAAGTGATTACTGATTACTAACACTCACCAATAATAAAGAAAGAGTAAAATATTTAAGAATAATGTTTGTCTTAGGCCATGTGAGAAGGAACTTCATTCTTATGATGAGGTGATCCAATAAAATATCAATAAGTATTTAAATTTTAAAAGAAAAAAAATGATGACTACAGGCAATAGAAACTAATACTTTTCTCTTTCTCCCTCAAGTAGCATTATTTATTATTTCTGTTTTTGAATTTAAAATCAAACATTGTTCTGAAAATATATATATATATATATATATATATTAGATCGACATCTTTCAGTCATATATGAGAGTTGAGACAAATAATCACTATAAATTTATGAAAATTTATATATATCATGAATTCATTTTTAGCCACCTATTTTTTTTTTTTTTTTTTTTTAGGATTTTTCGTTGATATAGAAATTATTATTATTATTATTATTATTATTATTATTATTTTTCATCCTAATCTCTCCTAAATTTCAAAACATTCCTTGTTTATCTTCTTTTCTTTTGTATCTAATTACAAACTTTTCATCCAAATTTAATTGTGTAAACATGATTATCACCAAATAAAAATAGATCTATTAGATTTTTCTATCGAAAAAATTATTTAATTTGGTATAATATGTCGTTCATGTATTATATATAACATGTAATTCTGTATTTGAGAGAAGGAATATCATCATTTGTGATAAAGTCAATGTAGGCCTAGGGTCATTCCCCCGCATGGCCCCACTCTTTATAATATGTGGTGTGTGTGTGTGTGTGTATATATATATATATATATATATATATATATATATATATATATATATTTCTAGAACAGTATTTGATTTTATATTCAAAACACAGAAACAATATATATGTCTACATACTAATAATATTATACTCTTTATTCATTAACCAGAGTAAATATATATTTTTTCTTTTCCTGAGTAAATATATATTTTTTTTCTTTTGCTTTCATATTTTACTTATCTTTTGTTTTATATCTTTTTTCTTATAATCAATGTTTTTTTTTTTTTTTAATCCGCTTTTGGCATTAATATATATATATATATATATATATATATATATAACCTACATTTTTATCGAATATCCGTTTATTAATAAATCGGATTCGGATTAACTTACAAAATATCTGTCGGATTATCAGATTGGATCGGATCGACTAAAATGCTTATCGGATTCGAATCGGATCAGGCCTGATCCGGTCTGAATCTTATCCATTTACAGGTCTACTTATAATGCAGATTCCTTCCTTGAGTTGGTTAGGGAATGCGTTTGGGCCGACTAGGCCTTATCGTCGTTCTCGTAATTGGCCTGGCCAGGTGTTTGGGCCTTTGGCGCTTGTTCTACTTCTGGATGTCCATTTATTACTTAGAGCATCTCTAGTAATCTGTTATGATGTGTAAATTTTTTTTATCTCAATAATCTGTTAAGATACACTGCCATATCACAAATATGTAAAATTGTTGTGTATTTTACATAATATATCCTTTCGCATCCCTCTTTCTCATTCCATTAACAAATCAACCTATATTAAGTAGGTTTGTAAAAATTATGTGGGGGTCCAAGCATGATATTAGTTGGTTATTATTGGGGGATATATTTTTATACAAAAGGAATAAAACAACCGTCAGAGCTAAAAATAAATAATCTAAAAATGTTGTATAAATTTATTATGACACATCATATTTACATAAAAAATATGCACAATGGTGGAGATGTTCTTAGTTATGAGCTTTTGATATGTATATGTCGCCTACTGATTGAAGGAGAATTTTCCCCCCTCGCTTTACTTTTAATTTGGTTTATTAATTGTAACGACCCAACTCCTCGTGGATCCGGATCATTAAATGGGTCCTTACCTGACCCAAAAACGTCCGAGGGTAATACGGTCATTTCACGTTAAATTTAAATATCAAGGTCCGAAAAGGGCAAGATAGTAATTTACCATATTTTAATAAATTAAGACTCAAAGGACGTCATAGTCTTTTACGTGTATTACATAATTGATAAAATGAGGTTCGAGACAATATAGACCTTCCAGTGGTTAAAATGTAATTATTGCATTTATTTGGGTCATAACATATTACTTGCAACATTAATTGGTGTCAAAGTGTAATTTAAGAACTTAAATAGTAATTACATATGTAACATAAACTGGTCGACGTATGGAACTTTACGTCGACTGGTTTGGGATAAGATACCGGTCGACGTATGGGAAGTTATACGTCGACTGGTTTGGAACGTGAGCAACAATGACCCACACTACTAGGATACCGGTCGACGTATGGGAAGCCACACGTCGACTGGTTCTGGAAAATTCACAATTCCACTTACTACTATCCAGTGATAACCCAAATATACCAACATTTGGTGATTCAACCACCCACGCCACTACACTCACGTGCATGATCACATACATTTCAACAATAAATTACAATTTCAATAACCACGTCTGCATAAATTATAACACGTTACTTAAAACCCACTAAAGGATTTAGTGACTAACACTTAATTACATTACTCCAGGGGCCATATACCAATCATTTTACATGTTGCAAAAAAAAATACATATTGAGTCGACATTTTTACAAAATTAGGCCCAAATACAAAAAGTAACAAAAAAAGACATTTTCCTACTCCAAGCTAAGGCTGAGTTGGATTATCGTTAGCTACCTCTTTTCCATGTCCTGAAAAAATGATAAATATAGTGGGGTGAGCAATTTGCTCAGTATGTGGCACCTAAGACGCACCTCATGAGACCCCGTGAATCCAAAACAAAGGATAGGCCAATAGGAGTCGGGGTCATACAAATGTAGGGGAAAGTACAACATGGTTACCAATCTCTACACAATTTAATAAGGTGCAATGTAGATGCAATGCATGCCGATGTCACTCCACATTTTCACAATTAAAATCATCGCTTTCAAACTGTTAATACAACCCACCCTTTGGTGACCCCGCAGTGACGCGAGAGGAGGATTGGCTAGTGTCCCTGACCCTTGGTAGCCCCGCGGCGTCATTATGGGCCTAGCTAGCTCAACCACGCTAGGGCAACTCCCTAGTCCCCTCTAGGCTATATAAACCTCCGGCCCTTTGGTACCCCCGCGGTGACCGAGTTTTCCAAAACACTTTCATCAAAATATTCTTTCCCAAAACTCCCCATTTTTATTTCAAGAACAATTTCTTCCCTTCATGAAACCCAATGGTGTACATGCATGTCTCAGGATCTCAATACTATGAAAATGAGGAATTTGACACAACACAAGTAAGCATGTTCTCATACTTTTAATATTTAAACAATAATGGATCATCACAAAATACGATAGGGCATGCTTTCCTACACCATTCATAGCATGTGAACAATACAATAGGCATAACTCACAATATAAGCATGTTTTCCATATAATACAATCAAGACAAGTCTTCACATATTCACATATATACAATCAAGACAATTTAGGCTACAATTAACACAATTAAGCATGTTATAACACAATTCATGTAGATTGACTCACAAAGGTGCATGAATAATGTGAATTAGGAAGCCCCTACCTCAAATTGAGCAAAACCCTTAAAATGATCAAGAATTTCGAAATCCAAGGGAAGCACCAAAGCTGGAATTGCTTACACTAGCGCGTAGAGCTCATCGCGCTCTCTGTTTCGCCTCAAACGTCACTCAAAAATTCCAAAAATTGAGAGAGTTATCTTGACTCAAAGCTTGAAGCAAAAGAAGGAAGAAAAATGAAGATGAAAGAGAGTAAGAAGGAGAATAGCGGGGAAAGAGAAATGAGGGAGCAAAATAGTGGTCTCTAGACTACTTTTGAGATAGTGGTGGGCCCCACAGTTTCTTTTTATTTTCTCTTTTTCTTTAATCTTCCATTTACACCACATACACATACAATGCACCACATACAAATACCACTTAATCCACATAATCTAAAATGCCTAAAAATGCAAATGGACCAAACCACCATCCCGAACGACAAACGTGAAAAGACAGAAATACCCTTGTCTCTACGAATTTCCAGAAAAATGAAAAATACTGAAAATTGGAAACGTTACATTAATGTAATTCAAATGACATATCTTTCCTTGAGAGAGAATCCTATGCTTTTCTATGCAACAACCGTATATCCCAACTTTATACTAAAATGAAAAGAAGAATGAGAGCTCCTAAATCCCACTGGCCTCCCTACCGGAATTCCCATCCTAACCGCCTTAAACCACCCTTCCTACCTGCCAAAAACCACCTCCATGACAACTATCACCATCCTAAGTCATCACTGCACTCTTTCTTTCCCAAAAAAACATAGTTCAGCAGCACCTCAGTCTGCATTACCT